AAGATAACGTGTGGTCGTCGTCGCCGCAGCTTTCGGGCGCGTAACCGTGGTAGATAGGCGAGCCGAGTCTAAGATCGACTGCAAGGATTTCCTGCGCAATTGACTGGTCCTCGTACGGGCGGCTCTCCTTAGCGTGCGTGTGGTCGTCGACACTGCGGCCGTCGGACGCGCGTCGAAGGTGTAGCCATGGTAAGAACAGAAAACTATTGTTGGAAACAAAGACGACGTTGTTGAAATATTGCGATATCAACCCTTCACTAAGAAACCCGAAAATGAAAAAAGGAAAAGACCAAGAGATAAACATCTACCTACTCAGTGAATAAAAGGGTTAAAAGCCTAGATTACGTTATACAGAACAAAGAATTGCTTCACCGGGTTAATTCATATGAAAGTATGGCCTTAGTTGTAACCCGAGTTTCACGCGATCTTCCGACAAATTAATGAAAGAAGCGGGGATTAATTTTATATAATTCATGACCGTAAACCTTATAACTTAAAGAATCATAGGGAAAAATAAAAAAAAAATTTAATTAAAAAAGCCGTGGACCCCGACCCCTCACAGAAGAAAAGGAAAATAAGCAATGAAAAAAAACACTTTGGGAGGACTTAACTTCAAACGGCTACACCAAAGGGACGGTATCAATAGAAAAAATTAAATTAAATCAATATTTTGATATGGAACGCTATAAGGTAAGTTCAAGAAATTCGAGTGTTTTTTGTTTTTTTTTAATAGATTTAACACAGGAAAGGCCGTCCTGGGCAAGACGATAAACTACGTCCAACAGCAAGGCCTCTGATCAGGAGGTTTTGAGGAGCGTGGAACCACCTCTTAATTGCTGGTGTTCCCAGGTCCACCCTGACCCGGGGTGTTAGCACCTGTTAGGGTCCCAGCTATGGGCAAATAGTTAACCCCCAAAATGGGGTTAAATCTCTATGAAAGTGTAAAAATAGGTTTTAATACCAGAAATACTTTGTAAAAATTATTACCAGCAATAAATTTTTGCAGAAAAAGATTATTACCAGGAATACATTAGTACCAGGAATACATTAGTACCAGGAATACATTTTTTTTAAATTACCAGCTATACATTAAAAAAAATTGCCATCTATACAGTTTTGAAAAAAAATATTACCAACAATAAAAATGTTGTCGGCATTAAATAACCCATTGAGGTTGATATACAGTAAAACAAACCAAACCAATATATACTGAGATAGATAGATAGATAGATAGATAGATAGATAGATAGATAGATAGATAGATAGATAGATATTACCAGAAGGTTGATATACCGTAAAACAAAGCATACCAAAACCACAAGAAAAGCGATAAAATCACCACGACCGAAGGGGTTAATGCGTATGAAATGATCTGAAAAGAATCATTAGTAAGCAGAGTGGACGATGAAAGCACAAGGAGACAGAAGATGACGATTGACATTGCATTTAATTAATTGTAACTGGAGAGCAAGAAGCGAGAGTCCCACAAGCAAGAAGTGCGAGAGAAGAAAAAAAACTGTTAGCATAGAACATACAGTTACATCTAGCTATTTCAACTGTAAAACGATGAGACCTAGGCGTCAATCTAGGACAACACTTTAATTCGTGAAGTCGAAGCGCTCGTCAGAAAAATTACCATGAAAAAATATTTATAAAAATAAGACAGCTACGTTACGGATGTGGGGACGTAACTGAAGCCGAGATGCCAGGTCAGGACCGATAACATTACATATTCTTCTTTTGATTCTCTCATGAATCTCTGAATATGTAGCAGGGTGACCAGAGTCCAATGGACAGCAATATTCAATGCCATGTCTAATGGTTGATTATAGATGACTGAGAGATTCTAGCGAGAAAAAATTGTCTAACACGGCACAGTGAGACAACATTCGTAGCTGCACACCTAATTGATTCAATAAAATCATTCCACTTCATGTCATTGGGATACTTTAGCCCGAAAAGGCGTAATTAGTCACTCCCTCGAGGTCAGGGTTATCAATGCTGAAGAAAGCCAAGTTTTTATCTGAGTTGATTGCATGCTGGGTAAGACGATAAACTACATCCAACAGCAAGACCTCTAATCATGACGCGTTGAGGAGCATGGAACCCCCTCTTAATTGCTGGTGTTCCCAGGTTCACCCTGACTCGGGTTGGTAACATCTGTTACGGCCGTCCTGGGTATGACGATAAACTACATCCTCGTCCTGGGTAAGACGATAAACTACCTCTAACAGCAAGGCCTGACCCGGGGTGGTAGCAGGCACCAATCTCAGGAGGTTTTGAGGAGCATGGAACCCTGACCTTAATTGCTTGTGCTCCCCAGGTCCAACTGCAAGGCCCAAGAGGGTGGTAGCTTAATTGCTGATGTTAGGTGCCCTCCTAGGTATGACGATGCTCGTCCTGGGTAAGACGCTAAAGTACATCCAACAGCAAGGTCTCTAATCAGGTGGGTTTAAGGATCGTGGAACGTCTGAATTGCTGGTGTTCTCAGGTCGACGGTAACTGTTTTGACGAGCTTCTTTCTTTGGTGCCCCGACTGCATGAATTTAAGCGTCCTACAATATAGACATCAATGACTCACCCTTTTACAGTTGAAAGAGTAAAATGTAACTGCCCCTTCTCCTCTAACAGTTTCTTTTCTCGCACTTCCCGGCTGTGGAACTCCATTTTCTTTCCTGATATCTACAATCTTCAAAAATTTACATTTAACCTCAATCGCCATCTTCTATCTTCTTGAACCCTGTTCATCTTTTTTTCATTTTCTCAATCCTCCCTATAGTCAGTCTTTTTTCTCACTTTCACTCCATGTAAAACCCTGCGTAATGTTAGCATTTCCGCCTTGTTTCGGATGAAATGATTTGAAAACAGAAAATACTATATCACTTGGTATACTATTTTTTTTCAGAGTCTGTCTATATTTCTGAGATGAGGTATTATGTACAGTATTTACATTAGTCGGACTATTGTCCTCATCTTTGTCGCCATATTTATCACAACGTTTCGGCCCTTCAGTATCTGTCTATATTTCTGAGATCAGGTACTATGTACACTATTTACATTATTCGGACTACTGTCCTCATCTTTGTCGCCATATTTGTTACAACCTTTCGGCCTTTCAGTATCTGTCTATATTTCTGAGATGAGGTATTATGTACACTATTTACATTATTCGGACTATGTGTCCTTGAAGGAGATAACTGATAACTGACATCCATTAAAGATGGCACGTGGAACTAGAACAGTCTACCCCAGTGAGCGAAATAAAGGGTTCAGTTCTACATTCCAACCACCTGAAGAAGGTCAGAGCGTACAACGGCCGAAACGTTGTAATAAATATCGCGACAAAGATGAGTACAATAGTCCAAATTATACCTCATCTCAGAAATATAGACAGATATTGCCATATTTTGTATTGTGTACAGTATTAAATTAGACGTACTATTGTCCTCTTCTTTGTCGCCATGTTGTCACAACGTTTCGGCCGTTGTACGCTCCGGTTTTTCTTCAGGTGGTTGGAATTTCGAAATTCGAAATTTCAACCACCTGAAGAAGGCCGGAGCGTACAACGGCCGAAACGTTGTGACAAATATGGCGACAAAGATGAGGACAATAGTCCGACTAATGTAAATACTGTATTTTTTTCAGCATGACGCCCCGGCCATTCTGCAAGAAGCTTCATCGAAAGCCTAACCAAGGTACAAAGCTATACACGGTGAGTAGTGTTGGGTTTTACTTAAAAAATAACAAATTCGGAAGAATAATGTTCACCGAATTCTGCTAAATCTGGAATCGAAACAGAAACCATTTGTTGTAGATCACAAATTACAGAATCGATATGAATTCCTGTGAATTTAAAATCCGGATATGTCTTTTGATCTTAAAGAAGGACTGAAAATTAACAAATAAAACTATTAACCATATAATATACCTATAGCTATTAACTGAAGGTTTCCAAGTTTAATCTTCTGAGACTGATCTCAGAATCAAACTCTTTTCTCCAATTCCATATTCTTACCAATTTTGTTGCCTTCTGTTCGAAACGTTTATTGCTCTTGGGGGCTGTAAAATAAGAATAGTTAATTCTTATCGCTTTCTTTTCGTTTTTACTTTCATATCCGTTCCGGTTTTTTGTGTCTTCCTTTTACTACTTTCTTTATTCGTTTCGTTTCTTTTATTTGTATTTGTTTTGTTTTTTTAAAATCCGTCTCTTGTTTCCTTTTGTTTAATTTTCGATGCTTCTCTTTTCCTTCCTTCTGTCAATGCTTTTTTCTTTCTTTATTCTTTACTTTTATTCGTTGTTACTTGCATTTTCTCGGTGTATTCCATGAAGAGGCATTCAGTGACCATTACAAGTTCAATCCCCCACGGGGCAGACAAATCACTGGTTAGTAAATAATCGGAATAAAAAAGAGGAGACGGCGGGTCTGCTGTAACTTGTGTTCTTAACAGGTGAGAATTTTGTTTTACTATTTTAATTTTCTCACTATTTTTGATATGTCGGTCCTATTCTGTTAGTCTTTCTTTTATTCTCTTCGTGTTTTTTCTTTTTATTCTTTCCTTTTACTTTCTTCGAAAATTTTCTTCTATAACATTACTTTTTCTTCGTCTTCTTTTGCTATTTCGATTCATTCTTTTTCTCTTTCTCTCTTTGATTTCTTTCTTTATTTCCTTCGTTCCAGATTTTCTTTCTTTTCGTTTCTTTATCTGTTTTTGTTTTATTTCTTTTTTTTTAATTTATTCTTATTTTTCCTTCATGGCATACTTCTCTTCATCTTTTTTTTTTTTTTTTTTCGATTTTTCTGTTTTTGTTTTCTTTTACTTTCTGTATTCTTTTTCTCCTTTCTTTCTTTTTTCTTTCATTTTTTTTTTCTATATTTGTGTTCTTTCTTTCTTTTCCTTCTGCATTCGTTTTCTTTTTCTTTCTTTCTTTTTTCTATATTTGTGTTCTTCTTTCTTTCTTTTCCTTCTGCATTGGTTTTCTTTTTCTTTTTTCTGTGTTTATGTTCTTTATATCTTTCTTTTCTCTCTGTATTCGTTTTCTTCTTTCTTTTCTTTTTTTTTTTGTATATTTGTTCTACTTTCTTTCTTTCTGTTCTGTATTTGTCTTTTTTCGTTCTTACTTTCTTTCCTGTCTGTATTCGTTTTCTTTTTCTTTCTTTCTTTTTTCTGTATTTGTCTTCTTTTTCTTTTTTCTTTTTTCTTTCTTTCTTTTTTTCTTTATTTGTCTTCTTCTTTCGTTCTTTCTTTCTTTTCATTTCTGTATTCGTTTTCTTTCTTCTTTCTGTCTTTCTTTTTCTGTATTTGTGTCCATCTTGCTTCCTTCCTTTCTTTCTTTCTTTCTTTCTTTCTTTCTACATTCGTCTTCTTCTTTCTTTCTTTTCAATTTCTTTCTTTCTTTATTTATTTTGAGATTGTCTTTCTTTTCATTTCTTTATCTCTTCTCATTTTATTCCTTAATTTTGTATTTCTTCTTTCACTCGTTTTGTTATTGTTTCATTTTATTTTCTTAGTAACATTTTTCTGACATAACATTAGTTTTTCTTCGTCTTTCTTCTTTTTTTTTTCTATCTTTTTTTTCAATTGTTTTCTTTTTCTTTCTGTATTCCTTTTCTTCTTTCATCTTTTTTCTATTTTTGTTCTTTCTTTCTTTTCCTTCTGTATTCGTTTTCTTTCTTTTTTCTGTATTTTTGTTCTCCTTACTTTCTTTCTTTATTTGTGTTCTTTCTTTCTTTTTTTTTTCTGTATTCGTTTTTTCTTTTTTTCTTTTTTCTATATTTGTGCTATTTCTTTCTTTCTTTCTTTCTTTCTTTTCTCTTTGTATTCGTTTTCTTCTTTCTTTTTTTCTGTATATGCGTTCTACTTTCTTTCTTTTTTTTCTGTATGTCTCTTCTTTCGTTCTTTCTTTCTTTTCTGTATTCGTTTACTTTTTCTTTCTTTCTTTTTCTCTCCATTTTTCTTTTTCTCTCCATTTTTCTTTTTCTTTCTTTTTCTATATTTGTGTCCATCTTCCTTTCTTTCTTTCTTTCTTTCTTTCTTTCTTTCTTTCTTTCCACGTTTTCTTCTTTCTTTGTTTTTAGTTTCTTTATTTATTCGAGATTTTCTTTTTTTTTTCATTTCTTTATTTTTTTTCTTTTTATTCCTTCCTTCTATATTTCTTCTTCCGTTCCTTTTTTTTTCCGCTTTTTCTATTTTTTTTTTTTTTGCTTTCTTTCTTTTTCTCTCCGTATTCTTTTTCTTCTTTCTTTCTTTATTTATTATTTCCTTCTTTCTTTCTTATTTATCTATCCTTTTTTGTTTGATTATTTTTTCGTTTTCTTTTTCTATTTTTCTTTCTTGCATATTTTTCTTTCCATCCGTTCTTTCCCAGCTCTTTCTTTCGTTTTCTTCTTTTTCTTTTTACCTCTTTTCATTGTTTTTTTCTTTTCTTCTATGTCTTTCTATTTACCTATGATTTTCCCCTTTTTAGATGTTTTTTCTTTCCTTTCGACATTATTTTTCTTTTTTTTAACCTTTATGTATTCCTTCTTTTCCTTTGTTCTTCTTTCGTTCAATAAATTATTTAATGTTATTCTTCTGAAACATTTCCGTATTTTCTTCCTTCATTTGAATTTTGCGTCTGCGTTTTCTCTTTCTTTCTTCGATATCTTAAAATTCTTATTATTATTATTATTGCATTTTTTTTTATTTCATGTTTTTATTTTCACTCCTCCTTTCGAAAGCTGTCCAATATAATGCGCCATTGCTTCTGGCGCCGGATTCACAGCAAATCACGTTCTCAACGAGAATATCGGAAAATCATGAACGAGAATAAACACTACAAATATCAAGGCTGACCTGTTGACCCAGATAATAAAACTAAACAATTTTACTTCTCTTTAAAATAAGTAATTTTGGCAGAAACAAAGGCATGAGCTTAAGACGCAAACAAACTATAAACGAAATTATGGAGAAAACAGACGATAAATCGAGAAGGTAAAGGGTGTGGGGATTACAGTTGAAATGGCTGATTTTGTCTTCTGTACCAACTAACTCATATTACTGTCTCTTTGTAAATCACGCGCCGCATGCAAAGATGTTACATGTGACAATCCTTTCTATATACAGTGACGCGAAACATCTTTTGTCTCTCTGCCTACCTGTCTACCTCTCTGATATATATATATATATATATATATATATATATATATATATATATATATATATATATATATATATATATATATATATATATATATATATATAATTTAACAACGTGTGTTAGCACGTGCGATACCCTGTCTTCAAGTGAAAATAAGTGGATACACCGTTTAAAAAACGCACTATCCAGACGGACTTAATCACAAATTTAACAATATAGATAGTATTAATATATAACCCCGCAAACCAGAACCTAACCACATTTCTCACCCACACAAGACAGACATGCTTACGAGGATGTTGAGGCCTCACACTTATACACACGCCCACATGAATATACACACACACATCATACTCACTCACTCCCTAAGAACCAAATAACACACACACATACTTAACAGAGACGCATCCTCTTTCCAGGAACCAATACAATTCAGAGCATCATGAATCGATCCAGCTCTTATCTCAAATAACAATATAAAAGCGACTGTTTGACCAACACAAAGACTGACCAAAATTCATGTTAAAAAATAAAAAAAAACAAATGAAAACTACAGACAAAAGTTCATTTTCTCCATGAAGACATTCATTTCTGTAGTTCACTGCTCCCAGCAAGCAGAAATATTTTTCTCCTGATGATGGCCATGTTGGCTGAAACTTGTCGAGGAAATGAAATTTTAATAAAAACGAAAGAATATTAATATACAACCCAATGTGTCTGAAGATTTTAATTTTTTAATATTTTCTATTGTTCAATATATATATATATATATATATATATATATATATATATATTCATTTAAACATGTCTGATTAAACAATTTAGATATGTTGTGTTTATTTACTTTCAATAAAATCGTTTCTTTATCACGTATAAACTTGCTTGTTTCATGATTAATAACCAAAAGAAAGGTACTGTGTTTGTATTTATTAATTTTTATTTTTCCCAGTACCTTTTCCAATATCATCATCAGAATTTTGATGTCTAAGACAAATAATTGTGTTTGTCCGAAACAAATTGATATATACCCATCAAATCCCTGGTGGTGATATTGGAAATAAAAATGAATAAACATCACCTCAATCACTCCAGATGTACACGTAAAATGCCCTGATCTCTTTGACATAATATGCATACATCAGTGTCAGCTCAATGTATATATATATATATATATATATATATATATATATATATAAATTTCTCAGAGTTAACCTGTAGAAAAGACAATATCTATAAATATAACTGACAATAGGAAAACTGTAGTAGTTGCTGAGATGAGAAGCTGCAGGTTTCCGGGATTGGTGTTGAGGCCCACAGTGGGAAACTCCAAACAATTTACGCGGGTACTTGTTGATACACTGATGTGTCAGATTAATGCAAAGTAATATCATTCGCCCGTAACGACCACAGAAGCCGAGGCAGCACACCATGTTAGTAGCACCAAGTCTTCAGTTTGCCAGAGAGATGGGTTCTGTCGATGAATTCAAGTCCATCTACTTACAATTTCGGAACCTCTTTAACGCCATGCCGATCAGACGTCCGATGCTTTTTACTGGTTTCTCTTTGATTGTCAGAATCAACTCACCCCTAATGCAGAAGTGAATCTCCCTGACAGATCCTCTGTGCAATGACAAGCTCTGTTTTTTTCTTGGGTTTAGCCTTCATTCTTGTTTACGTAAAGAGATTATGGTAACGCCGCAGCAGTTTATCGGTACCGTAATTAGACGGAGCCAAAATGGTGATGCCATCCATAAATGATCTTTCCTTAGTCATCCCTACCTTTGATATGTCCACTACACCCCGTAATATAAATTCCATAATGAAAAGAAGTAGTGGAATCACATAACCCATCATGATACCGATTTCGAGGGCTTGCTACTCGGTGGTGGAGTTACCAACGGTGAACTCATATACGCTGTTCTGAAACATTTCGTTATAATTTCCCTAAATTTACTATGGAAATTGAAAAATTCGAGGGACATAACTCACAAGGAAATGATCTATATGAATTTTGCGAAATCAAGCCAAATTATATGAAGCTAAGTTTTATTTTGTTTCGCTGATAGGATGATCCAGACAATTTGGGAAGCCAGCTGTGTTTATGCAATGGTTACCTAGCAGGAAGTCCGTCATACGACGAGCAAAAAAAATGTTATCCCTGTACATTCAAGAAATAGATGGGGCGAAAAATTTGCAATGGCTTTTGCATTTTTTACTTAGGTAATCAAATGCCATCCGCCAGGCACCATTTTTACGATACGATCTTGTTTCTATTCCCGCTGTTCTGTTTTTTAAAATGTCTGAATTACATCTACAGGCCTGTATATCCGAGAGACTTTATAAAATAAAGAAGAATAACCACCAGCAGAGTTCGGAGCTGATCTCCCCTTTGTAAGGGCAAATCACCACCTGATCAGCCGTACTTTAGACCGACTTGCTGCAGGGAGCATCAGCTGCAAGAAATATATATGTGTGTGCGTTTGTATGTATTTGTGTATGTGTGTGTGTGTGCGTGTGCATGTGTGTGTGTGTTTGCTCATACCTCTGACGATATCTCATGTGAGTCAAAAGCTTGGACTTAATACAAATTCGGTTATATTTATATTTTCCACTGCCACATTTGCCAATAGCTATTCGCATATGAATATAATATATATATATATATATATATATATATATATATATATATATATATATATATATATATATATGTCAATAAATCTAATAGACATAAAAGTCTATTCTTTTAAATAAGACATGTTTACAAGATCACGTCCGACCAAAATATATTGAATACATCCAAACAAGTATTTTTAAATTCAAAAGTCTGTCTGTTTAATTTTTATAGTTTTTTTTTCCCCT